AGTCAGACCCCAGGTTCAAACTCAACTCCACAGCTCACTAGCTGTGTGGCCTTGGGCATCTTGACTTCTCTGTGCCTCTGTCTCCTGTCAGTAAAATGAAGGAGAGCAATAATATTACTTCATAGGATGGAGATTTTTTAATTGAATAAGATAATTCTTGTAACTACTTCAAACAGGACCTGGGAAGTAGTAAATGTACAAAGGATGTTGAGTATTATTCTATTTATGGTGGAATACCAATTTGTATTTATACTATCTTTCTTCACTTCAAAAAACTCGAATATACCACTGTGAGCTTAAAGGACCTTGACTTCTCAGCTCCAGTTAACACAGAAAACACAGTGTATAGAAATTTGAATGTGAAAAGAAGGGGTACAAGTCATCTATCAAGGTTCGAAATGATTCTTAATGTGTCCCACTTCCCATGAACTAGAGAACTCACTGTACACAATAGCACCCATCCTTGAATGTCTTTCACATATGCTTTCCATTGCTTCTAATTTTTTTTTATTGAAATCTAGTTCTTTCTGCCCTTTTCATTGTTGTTGTTCCTTCAGGACTTGGTAGTGGCAAGAATGGCCCCCTGCACATTTCCTTCTCAGCAGAGGTCTGTGTGTGCCAATAATTGTGAAGGAAATTGAATGTATTACTGTTCTGATATTATTGAAATTTCTTGACCTTACCTTTCAAGTGCTGTAGTCCCACAGGGGAACGACTGTTGAGAATAACCTTCTTGCCTATTGTGCAAACATCTGCAAATGCACCACCACAGCAGTTAGAGTGACTCCCACCAGCCAAAAACTGTGGAAATCAAATGCTCGGGCTAGCGATCACACCTGTTCAAACCTCGACAAAGAGGATTTTTCAGGTCCTTTGCCTGTGGTTTTAAACTCCTTGTCTTGGAAATTTAGTTTTTTGTCCACTCTATAAGCAATCTCCTGTGACCTTGGGAGTAGGAGGTAGAGGACAGAAGGACACTGACCTTCCATGATATTCCTCCCGGCATTTCAGTCCTGCGAGGTCATGGGTGCTGAAAGGAACCACCTTGTGTCTTAGGCATGCATATGTGGACTCGTGATGGTTGTGGTCACTCAGACCCCACTAAGAGCTACCAAATTCAAATGGAGTAGCTCTTGGTAACCATAAAATCTGCCCCTCTCCTGGCCTCCAGTATGTTTTTTATTTTGCCAGGAGACATGTATCTCTGAATAATAATTTATCAGATCTTGAGAGATAATTTGAAATATGTGGAAGAGAGAGGGAAAAACAGGATTGACACATTTTGAACAAAAAGCCCTATATTTAGGGGACTGGACACAGTGCCTTATGTTGTAATCCCAGTCCTCTGGGAGACTGAGGTGGGAAGATCACTTGACCAAAGAGTTTGAGACAAGCCTGGGCAATATAGCGAGACCCCATCTCTACAAAAAATAAAAACATTAGTTAGGTATGGTAGTGCATGCCTGTAGTCCCAGCTACTCAGGAGGCTGAGGTGGAAGGATAGCTTGAACCCAGGAGCTCAAGGTTGTGGTAAGTTATGTTTATGTCATTGGACTCCAGCCTAGGTGACAAAGCAAGATCCTGTCTCAAAACAAACAAACAAAAAACCCAAAACCTTAAAAGTGGGTGCCTTCCTTCTTGCATTTTCCACGTTCCCTCCTCCAAAAAAAAAAAAACAGAATTTGAATGCACATTTGGGAAAATACCTTGAATCATCAGTTAGGAATTTCCAGTGCTTGCCCCAGGGCAGTTTTGTTGTTGAGCCACAGTGACCAGGTCAGGGAGGGAGCCACATCCAGGGCAGGAGAGGGCTGCCAAATGCAGCCTCACACACCATGCAATGCAGGAGAGCAGAGAAAAGACAGAACCAGGCGGACCGCCGCCAGCAGCCAGGTACCTTGGACTGCACTTCTGTCTTTCTCTCTGGGATCAACTTAGAATAATCTTTGTGTTCATTTTCGTTTTCAGATTTTAACACTAAATTCTTTTAGTTCTTCTGGGTCCCTGTACCTGACGTTAGCACGAGAAGAACTTCACCTAATTTATTTTTCTGTCCTAATCTTTTTTAGTGAAGGCCAATGGCAAAGAAAATCACAGAAACCAAAGTCTGTGTTATCAGCCAAGTGAGCTGCCAATGCTTATAAATACCCTTTATTTTAAAGATAATTCAAACTTAATTCTGTAAACATTAAAAAAAATGTTCCTTAACTGTTGCTCAGTCCCAGCGGTGAGGTGGTCCAGTCTGGTCCTAGGTGACTGCATTCGGTGTGTGAAATTACTGTTAAATCAGAGCAAAATGAGATTCCTCAATTCACAGAGCTTGTAGACAGGGTTAGACTAATCAGTAGATTTAAAACAAACAGATACTGGGTGCTTCACAATTACATCTCCATAGAAGGTCACCTGATAGTAAGATCAGAAGGTGGAACTGATGCTATAGAAAAGAAGAGATTTGAAAACACACGCGGACCAGCCCTCATCCCAGGCCCATTAAATCAAAGTCTCTTGGATTAGGACATCAGAATTTTTTTTAAAGCACCACAGTAATTTTAATTTGCAGCCAGAGCTGAGAACCACTACCTCCCATGGAAAACAGTTCCTGGAAAACTGGAATTGCACTCTGGTTGCCTAGGGTCATGAACTGAGCTCAGTTTGGAAGCAAAGCCTTGGCACAGAAAAATTTAGAAGAGTTATCAGCTTAGTGGTTGGGAGCAGCAGTCCAATGTCAGTGCCCTGAGGTAGTGCTCTGAGGCCTGAGTGATAATTGCACCCCTTCTCAAGAAATCCTTGCAAACGATGCCCCCTCTCTGTGAATTGGAAAGGAGGGAAGGTGCTATGTTGTCAAACTTCTACAGATAACCTTAGAGATATAAATCAAGAAAAGGAATCATACAAACAGTGCATCTTAACATTATTTAATATTTGGCATGTGCTTAATATAACATTTTAATGATGTTGCAGTATGCACACAAGCGTTCAGACATATTCATCATTCGTGTATTCACTGAGCTCTGCTATGTGCCAGGCATTCCATAAAGCTCTAAGGAAAATAGCAGTCAACCAAGAGTCCTCGTTCCCCTCTACTGTGTAATCTCAGGGGTCACTCCTAAGAAAGGGTAAATGAGCAGGGCCCCTAGCTCAGACTGTCTCCAGGAGGACTGTTGGATGCTGAGAAGAGAGGTAGCTTTTCTTCCTGCAGGAATACGCTGGATTCATCCATTATAGTCATCGTCATGAGAACTATTTCTGGAAGTTTCAGAGTAGGTGGCACAGTCTCGTGTACCTACTTCAGGGTCACATTGGGAAGACTATCCGTTTGCACAAAGATGGACTCTGCATTTTTTTCCTCGTGAATAAGTAACAAGCTGTTAAGTACACAATGAATGTACCTCTCTGCGAGCCGGAACTGGTGATTGATGGAATCCGATGTTTACTTGTCCCGTCTGTAACCTTAGATTAAAGTCACTGAAATCTTCAGCCTCTACATCAGGAGAATGGCACGCACATGCCAAGGGACATGGGCCTAAATGGCTGGCGGAGCTTTGTGGGAGGTAGCATGCATGGTCCCATCCCCAAAGGGATTAGACGCAGAGACATCAAGAAACCAAGTCAGCTTTTACAGGGAGGGCAAGAGTGTAGTCAGAAGCAACAAGGGAGAACGGAATAGAAGTTTGTATTGTGGAGGGAAGGGAAAGAGGCCTTGACAGGTAGAAAGGAGAAGAGAGACTCCCCCAGGACCGAATGCTAAGTGGTTAGGGGGAATGGGAAGTGACTAAAGGGTCTCTCAAGTATGTCACTGTTGCTCAGTGGCCAGGCCTCAGCCACAGGGCATCATCAACAAATATCTTTAAGTGCACCTTGTGATCCTTCTATTGCTTTGCTGTTTATAAAATACACTAATTCCAAGAATCCTCAAAATAGCCATGAGAGGTATTACTGTGATCAGTATAATAAAGAAAGAAGACACTGAAGCTCACAGTGGCTAAGTAACTTGGCCCAAGTCACAGAGCCAGTTAAAAAGTTGAAGCAAATCTCAAATTCAAATATTTGAACTCCAAATCAAGATATTTTCATACAATTGGGTTCTGGTCTTGAATGTGCCCGAACATTTGTCCGATTTCACATCTATCATGTGACTCCCCAAGCCTTTGAAGTTGTATTCTCTCATTTCCTTGCCTTTCTACTTGTCTTGTAAAGATTTATACTGTTACATTTATACCTTCAAGAATGCATGGGCATAAAGTAGAGTTTGGTTTTTTTTTTTTATCTGGATTCAAAGAAATTTTAAATTCCAACTTTCTTTACCTGATTCTATCTGTAGCACTGGCCTTTTGTAATACATATTTCCTGACCTTTTTTTCCAAACCATAGGAAAGCTTTTTAATTCTCAGATCCCAAGAGCTAAGGAAGTAGATGGCTATTCGTGTTCTGCCAGGAATCTTTATGTTCAGTGAGAGGAAGTGCAACTGCTAAAAACTCTTAATTTCTCTCTCTCACTTTAGAAAGTCGGGCGGGGAAAAAAGGGATTAATTTGACAGATAGCACAGAATAAGAAAAATATTAGAAACAAGAAAAGGCCATTTTTCCTATAGAGGCTCATTTCATTCTATATACCACTTCCCTGGGATATCTGCCAATTGTTAGTAGAAAGAGTAATGTTACCCATTTTTTTAAATTTCACTCTTGAGTATTATGGAGATAAATAGCTAAATGATAGAGAAATAACTTTCTTTCATGGTAGTAGTTTAAGAGGGGTAAAAAGAGCTCAAATGTAGATATGTTTGATGACATGAGAAAATTTAACCACGAATGAAAAACTTGGTATTTCTAGAGGCGCAGTTTTAGAAAGAGTACCTTTTGCATTGGCACTAGAAAGCTCTGTCCATCTATAAAAGTGAGGGAACAGCAAGTGGCTATTAGCAGACCTATTTGCAAGCCAAAGAAATTTTCCAGTTGAAACTTATAATGAAAAACAAAGTCTTCCTTCCGTTTTGCTGCAGGGCCTATGCAGGAGACCATCTATGACTTCTGGAGGATGGTTTGGCATGAAAACACTGCAAGCATCATCATGGTGACCAACCTTGTGGAAGTGGGAAGGGTAAGTGGGCCATCCACTACAAGTGAGCATTTGTTCCTTGCTAAGAAAGGAACAAATAGAAAGGCATGAGCCAAGCTTTTGCATTACTATGTGCATTCCAAAAAACATTAACTACTACAGCTCCTCCTATTGCTTGCTGCACTTGCTTATAAATTATCAGTAAACATAGCCTGAATTGCTTTCATTTGTTGCGATAGCAACAGACAGGAAAGGCACTCAAGATTTAAAAGCAGTTGTTATCAGGCTATATTGAGTGCACAAAAATACCTCTAAGCATGAATGCTGATTGTTGGGTGTCAAAACTCAGTGGGTGCCACATTAGGCACAACTGCATTCCCTAACTCAAGAAAACTAGCTCTAAAAACAATGTGCAGCACGGGATTCAATTCCAGCATCTTCTGTTGCTTACAATTCCAGCATCTTCTGTTGCTTAGATTTGACTTTCCTGTGCCTGTACCTCAGTTTCCTAACCTGCAAAATGGAAATCATAATCTGCTCCAAACGTCTTTTTTCACTTTTTCTGCAATAAATGTGTATGAGTGCTATTTTTATTTCGCCAGGAAACTTTAGTAGTTGGTAATGGTATGCTATAAAATTATTTCCAAAGTGAAATTTTAAAGTGAGCAAATACACAGGGTGCAATTACCTTGTTTATAGGAGATTCGATTCTGTGGTTATTCTCAACCAAAGAGAAGTTTGCATCATGAGATTTACCTCCAGTAATGAGAGCCTAAGGGTTAGCCTAGAATTACAGCATTGGGGCAAAACTCATAGCGGGTTGTCTCTGAAGATCCTAGAAGGTATCAGGAGGCACAAACCAGGAAGAAGGAGAGACATTACAATTCTTCCATAATGAGAATATTCAGTAAGTGGACGATGCATACAATTCTAGCAAAAATGGCAGATTAAATTACCTAAAAACCCACCTACAAACATCTAGAAATTCTGTATAAAATCATAAATACATATTATTACATGTTTATGTATATCACATGTATGTGTGGAAAATTATATATATATATGTATATATTTAAAATGTAATCCCGCGCTTTGGGAGGCTGAGGTGAGTGGATTGCCTGAGCCCGCAGGTTCGAGACCCGCCTGGGCAGCAAGACCTCATCTCTACAATAAATCTAAAAAATCAGCCTGGCGTGGTAGCGCATGCCTGTAATTCCGGCTACTCGGAAGGCTGAGGTGGAAGGATTGCCGGAGCCCAGTGGGTCGAGGCTGCAGTGGCCAGGAGCGACCACTACATTCCAGTCTGGGTGACAGTGAGACTCCAACTCAAAAAAATAAAAAATAAAATAAAATGCTTAGCTGATCCCTCAAGAAAGTAAAGAAAACTATTATAAAAGGGATTGGCAGTAGTGGGAAACTGCCAGGAGAGAGGGGGTAGGATTGGCAGTTGAGGGAAACTGCCAGGGGAGGGAGGGACAAACCTCATCAACAAGGGTACCTGCATAATCAACATTTGTATACCTAATCTTGAATTGTACCCCACATCTTTAAAAGAAAAAAAAAACTCTTGTAGACCAGAAATAAAGCAAAGACTAGAGACTGGAGAGAGAGGACCTCACACCTGCCCTTAGGCGACTTAGTAGGGATAGCCTGTGATGGTGAGAGGGTCTTCATGATCTTGGATCTTGAGTTTTAAAGCCCACCAAGGGCAAGAAAAACGCTGTGGATCTGTACAATGCTGAGAATTTGAACAGAGACTGCCACATAAAACCAAAATCTCCAAGGTGTAGACACTCAGAAAGGGCAGACTAGAGCAGGGGGAAGTGAGGAGGGAAGACCAGCATAGCCAGCCCAGGGAAAAAACAAGGAAGTTGAGCCAGCTTTACTTGGGGTATGGGTAGAAAAACACCCTTAGCTCATGGGTCAAAATAAAACAGCTAATCAAATCAGAAAATACTTAGAACTGTGAATCATGAAGTATCATGTAGTAAGTAGTAAACTTGCCAGGTGCAAATAAAATGGTACCTGAAAGGGAATACATGCTTTTTTTTTTTGAGTTGGAGTCTCACTCTGTCACCCAGACTGGAGTGCAGTGGCCACTCCCAGCCACCGCAGCCTCGACCCGCTGGGATCCGACAATCCTTCTGCCTCAGCCTTCCAAGTAGCTGGAACTACAGGCGCGCACTACCATGCCCGGCTAATTTTTTATTTATTGTAGAGATGAGGTCTCGCCAAGTTGCCCAGGTGGGTCTCGAACCCACGGGCTCAGGCAATTCACTTACCTTGGCATCCCAAGGCGTGGGATTACAGGCTGAGCCACAGAGCCCGGCTGGAAATACATGCTTTTAATTGTTGTTATTAGAAAAAAAGAAAGGCTAACCAAGCATCTAATTCAAGAAGGTAGATGAAGAGCTGAGTAAAACCCAAAGACAGAAAAAAGAAAATAATAAAATAAAAGTAGAAACTTACTAAATAAACAATACAGAGACAATAATAAGGGTCAACAAAATAAAAAGCTGGTTTTGTGAAAAGGCTAATGAAATAGACAAACCTCTGGCAATAGATCAGAAATAAAAGGAGGAACATCACACATAACCAATATTAGGAATAGGATAGACCTGTAAAATGGAAACTGTTTTATCACAATATAATAATATGAATAACAATAAATGTGATAAAATTAAGTAATTTTTAGAAAAATAAAATTTTCTAAAGGTGATTCAAAAAGAAACAAAAAAATATGACTAGGCAATAATTATTTTAAAATTGAATTATGGCTAAAAAATCGACCCATGAAGCCTGGCACAGTGGCTTATGCCTGTAATTCCAGCTACTTGGGAAACCGAGGTGTGGGAGATAGAATCGACCCTCCTCAGCTTTATCATTAAAGAACCACACAGAGACTCAAAGATCGGTGGAGTGAAGCAGCTCTTTTAATATCATTCTTGCAAGAACAGGTGTCTCTCAGGTGAGCAGGCACACCAAGCCAGAGGAACCAGCACTTTTATCCCTAAAATGCAAGTCCCTCTTCTGGTTCCTCATTGGCTGAGTATTGCAGAAGTTACAGGCTCCCCCATGTGACACCTATATGACATATTTCGATTGGCTTACAGAATCATTTCATTTGCATGTCCTATTTATCCATTGGCTTACAGAATTAACATTCTGACTGGATCCCACCAAAAGTTTAAACATGAAGCCTGTCAAAGTAAAAAGCCTGGGAAAAGGAAGCTCAAAGAAGCAGGAAGTGAATCAGCAAAGGGGAAGCACAGGCATTTAGACACCATCTTGAGAACCCAAGATAAGAGATAAGCTAGGCTCGGTTTTGAGATAAGAGATAAGCTAGGCTCTGTTTTGAAAATAAATCATCCTTCTTATTTTCCACAGAGGTGGGAGGATCTCTGGAGCTCAAGAGTTTGAGACCAGCCTGGGCAATATAATGTGACCTCTTCTCCCAAAAAAGACACAACGAGATGCAAATGTTTTTACAGATACTAAATAATCAATAAACAGATAATTCAAATCTTATATATTTTATAAATATAAAAATATTATAAATATAAAAATATTATAAATAACTATAAAATATAAGTGTAAAAATGTAAATAAATGTTATGACATATAAATTATTTTAAGAGAATAGAAAAAGAAAGCCCATTCCCCTGTGACAAGAGGACAGTATAACCTTTTTACCAAAACCAGACAAGAACTATAGAAAAAGGGAAAATTATAGAGGCCACAGATTGATGGGAAGAGATGAATAGACCAATGGGTCAAAGTGGAGAGACCAGAGATTGACTTTAGGCATAAGTAGAAAGATGCAGAGTCAACGGGGAACACATGAGCCTTCTGGGAAATCGAGCTGGGACTTTTGCTTATCCAGGTGGACCAAAAGAGAGTTCCTCCTTCATAAAACATCCAAAAATAAATAACAGATAAAGACCTAAATATAACAAATAAAGTTTTTACAGTTTTAAAAGAAAATGTGAGAGAAAATATTTAAGACCTTCATTTTGTTAAGAATGTTTTAAAGATACCAAAAGCCCAACACATTAAGAAAAGGATCCGAAAATTTGACTTTGTCAAAATGCAACATTTTCCGTCCAATAAAGTATATAAGCCGGGCTCGGTGGCTCAGCCTGTAATCCCAGTACTTTGGGAGGCTGAGGTGAGTGGATTGCCTGAATCCACGGGTTCGAGACCCACCTGGGCAACTTGGCGAGGCCTCATCTCTACAATAAATCAAAAATTAGCCGATTGTGGTAGCGCGCACCTGTAGTTCCAGCTACTTGGAAGACTGAGGCGGAAGGATCGCTGGAGTCCAGCAGGTCGAGGCTGCGGTGGCCGGGAGCGTGCCACTACACTCCAGTCTGGGCAACAGAGTGAGACTTCAACCCCCCAAAAAAAAGGATATAATAAGTAAAGTGACAAGACAAGAAAGGGGATACTATGGAACCATTATGTAAAGTATAAAAACTTACAGAGCCATATTTTTTGACTAAAAGTATACAAACCATTTCTTTCTTTTGATTATGTCTCTGTGGGAGCACAAGTGAGCTGGGCGGAGCCAGCTGCCTCAGGCTGGTGCAACTGTGCAGCCTATAAGAGGTTGCTGGGCCTCTCCTACCACCGACCTTTCTGTGGAAAGTACAGATGTAATAGTGCTAGCCACCAGCTTGGGCCACCATAGCAAAAACCACAGGCTGAGAGGCTTAAACCACAGACATGTATTTTTTCACAGTTCTGAAGGCTGAAAAGTCCAGACCCAAGTCCAGCAGGTTCAATTCTGTTCCTGACTTTCGCATGACCACCTTCTAGCTGTGTCCATGTGGCAGAGAGAATGAGCTGTCTGGTTTCTCTTCTTCCAAGGACACTAGTCCTGCTGGGTCAGACTCCACCTTGAAGACCTCATTTAACCATGATCACTTCCATAGAGGCCCTACATCCAAATACAGCCACACTTGCAGGTTGAGCTTCAACAGATGAATTTCAGGGGCACACTAATATTCAACCTATAATGACCTGCTTCATGGATTTCTTAG